GTTGTGCACACCAAACAAGTCAGTCCAAGTCTAATGACATGGCCATCAGCTGCTAAAATATTTGCTGCTAGTGTTAGTGGAGAGAAATGGTGCGCCTGCGCATATGGCGTATAAGGGAAATGAATGCAACATGATTATAATCATCGGTCATTAGCAAACATTCTAGTTTGTTATTAATAATTATGTATAACAGGATATTGTAGAAATTAAGTTATGAAATTTTTATTAAAATGTTTCTTACAGCCCTGGCTGGTGTGGCTCAGTCGGTTAGAGCATTGTCCCCTGCACCAAAAGGTGGTGGGTTCAATTCCCAGTCAAGGCACATACCCTGGTTTCAGGTTTGATCCCCGGTCAGGGCAACCAATTGATGTTTCTCTCTCACATCAATGCTTCTCTCTCTCTCCCTTTCTTTCTCTAAGATCAATTTAAAAAAAAAAAGAAATATCCTCATGTGAGGATTGAAAACGTTTCTTACATACCATTATATTGGCTGGGCCGCAAAAATATTCGTTGTGGGCTGTGTGCAGCCCCAAGGGCCACGAGTTTGACATGCTTGATGTACTCTTCTAACGTCCTTTGCTCAAGTGTAATAGGCCTTGGAGGTATATCACCCAGAGTTTAAATCCCAGCTCTTCCTATCTCAGAGTTCCCTAAAACTGAGGTTTAGTTTTATTTAAATAACAGAGGTCCTATCCAAGCACACTATCTTGTAAATAGTAAGTTCTTAATAAAACTTACTTGCAATTATTATTCTAAATCAGTTGTTTACTTGTTGGAGGAACTTTGAAAATCCATGTCTGTAAAATGAATCATAGGCCTAAATAGATCTTACAGTATAAACCACTGGTCTTGAAAGTAGAGTATGTGCACGCACAGGCATGCATAAGAGGATACATTGTAATACGGGAGAAAATTTAGAACTTCTTTCACTTAATTTTTATCTATAAAAGGAAAAAGTAAACCTTGCTAATACATATGTTATATACAGATTTAAAATTTCACATAAATACACATACTGGGATGCATTTTTTAAAGTTTCTAAAACAAAAAAATGTTTGGACCACACTAATTTGGACCAGTCTTTACTCATCTGCTTTAGGTCACTTTATGCTTTCCTATTAGGTATTCACCTAGCCTCTCTCTTGACTCTGTTGGAGGAATCTGCCTTGAAAGACAGGTCATATGGATTTGTAGTCATATTTGTTAGAAACCTGACTCCCTCTATATTCTATCCATGGCTTTATTTTCATCTTTGGAGACATGCAGAATAATCCTAATATCCCTTCCTAGTCATCTTTGAATACTTTGACAGCTCTTTATGTCCTGTGTCTTTTGCTTCTTCCCCAACCAGTTTTTCTATAGATATCTAGTTTATACATACCTATTTTTTAAAAGCTGTTCTAATGTGAAAGGTTTTCAAATTTCTCATCATCTTGGCCCATTTCCTCTAGACACTCTCCAATTGTCAAAATTCTTTATAAGTTTTTCAACAAGATTTGAACATGGTATCCCAAGAACTACAATGAGCTTAAGGGCCTACCTGTACTTTGTCTTTATGCGGTGAGAGATGTATTTGAATACATTTTATTATGAAGGTATTCATATTGATAGGTTGACACTCTTGCTCTTTATTTTTTTATTTTTTAAGATTATTTTTATTGATTTTAGAGAGGAAAGGAGAGAGAGAGAGAGAGAGAGAGAGAGAAACATCAATGATGAGAATCCCTGATTGGCTGCCTCCTGCACACCCCCTACTAGGGATCAAGGCCATTAGTCCGCAGCAAGTGCTCTTGACTAGAATTGAACCCGGGACCCTTTAGTCCGCAGGCCAACGCTCTATCCACTGAGCTAAACTGGCTAGGGCTGTCACTCTTGCTCTTTAAACAATCCCCAGTAAAAAATAGTTTCAATTATATTATAGTGAGAATAGGAGAGATTATTTTTCTCCTTCAGTAGTGGTTCTCAATTTTACTCTTTTTAAACTCTGTGTAAATTTCACTTTTGCCTCAAAATACCTAACATGTTAAGTATTTACCCAAGTGGGAAAATAAATAGAAAAAACTAATGAAATGGTTGGGTTTCTTAAATCTAATTTAAAAGTTAAGTTAGGAAATAGACTTTTTCAGTTAGTGAGTGGAAAATGGAGCTGATTGTTCTTATATTTCTTTACATTATATGTCTAATTTTGAAATCCATAAGGTGGAAAATGTTGATTGCCCTTTATATATCTTAAGGCCAGTAGAGCTTGTGATCAGCAGGGAAGTAAGGTACTTTTTAAATTAAAACTATTATTAAACACTAGAGGGCTGATGCATGAAATTTGTGCAAGAGACCTCTGGGCCCTCGCAGCCCCAGCTTCGTCCGGAAGGTCCTTCGGCTGTCCAGTCTAAATAGCGTATGACGCTTTTATTATTATAGACTAGAGGCCCAGTGCACAAAATCCGTGCACTTGAGGGGGGGAGGTCCCTCAGCCTGGATTGCAAGAGGGTGCAGGCCAGGCTGAGGGACCTCACCAGTGCATGATTGGGGCTGGGAAGGGACACAGGAGGTTGGCTAGCCAGGGAGAGACCGCAGAAGGGCCCCAGGGCTTGTCCAGCCTGTCTTGTTCAGTCTTAATTGGCCGGACCCCAGCAGCAAGCTAACCTATCAGTCAGAGCATCTGCCCCCTGGTGGTCAGTGCACATCCTAATGAGCGGTTGAGCAGCCTTAGGATATCATTAGCATATTATGATTTGATTGGTTGAATGGATGACTGGATGACCGGACACTTAGCATATTAGGCTTTTATTATATAGGATTATGTCATATTTAACCTGAATAGCAGACTTAATTCTATAATTGAACTTAGACCCAAAGACACTTTCATAGATGTTTTATGGGTTTAAAAAAGCGAAAACCTAAGATTAAACAATTCTACATGGCTATTTGTTTTAGTCTCTTTAATCATTTTTCTTTTTCCTTTATGCGTCTTTTAACTTTTTCATACCTTTTTAAGACAGTGATACTCCAAACATATCATGCATAGTTTGATTGGAGCTATATAAATTCATCTTGTATTTCTTCCTGATTCTTATATTTTTACATTGATGTTTTTAGCTCCGTATAGTATTTATGTATGTCTTTTGAATGAAATGGTTAGATATAAGGCCCCCTTTAGGGAGTCATCTATGAATTCTTTTGTGATCAGTGGGCCAGATGTGTCAGACAAACCTAATTGCAGTCACTCACCATGCAAATTACCTAAATTGTCTGATCCTCATTTTTCTCATTTTGCAGCACTTTTGTGAGGATTGGATACAAAACACATATAGTCCTTCATAGAAGGATGTTATTTTTTTGGTAGTTGCAAATTTTAGTAATCTAAAGAAATATATACATAGAGAGTAGGTGGTATTTTACATCTTCAGTCAGATATGGGTCTAAACGTGAACCTAAATTTTTTTAGACCTAGTATAAGTTAGAGCTGCGCTAATTTGTTTGTATAATCAGTAAAACTCAGTCCTCCTTCCGAGAAAGCTTAGCTGTATTTGAGGATGGCAAAAGAAGGAAAAAGATGAGTATGGCCTCCTTTTTTTTATAAGGTTACTAATAAAAACTTTATTTGCAAATGTTGACATAGTGTTTAAGTCAAAATTGAAAGCAACGATAAGCAACTCCTTCGCATAGTTATTACCTCTGACCAAGGAAGGCATAATAAGAATTCACTTGGACAGATATCTCTCATAACCTACCTAAAAACAAGATAGTTCATAAATTCTCTAAACTGCTCTTTTCTGCTGTGGTCAGTCCTTGATCTTTAGCTGTAAAACCTAGTAAACTTTGGCATACTCTAATGCTAGTATTCTAGGTTACTGAAAACCTCTATTTAGCACTATTTCTCAAGTCTGGGCAGTTTTCTCATTCTGAATGCTTAAATATTTAGACCACAAACTGAAATACCAGTAGAAAAACATTCATCTTTAGGCAAGTTGTACAGTTAACACATGGCAAGAAACTAACAAGAAAATTTAAAAATCTAGGACATACAAATACTTGAAAAGTGGCCTCCTTTTTTATAAGCCACAAAACCCAAGATTTTTCCCTTTTTCATCATCCTTTGCATTTGCCAAGTGCCCTCTTTAGCCTAATGTCTCTAATATGAATTCTCCATTGTTGGTTGAAAGCAGTCTGGTTTCTTATTTGTCTTTCTAGAACAGGGGTAGGGAACGTCTGGCCTGTGGGCAGTGTAAGGCCTGTGAGATCATTTGGTCTGGCCCTGCCACGGCATTAGGGGTGAGTTAATTAAACATTTGACCAGATATAGCAGGCTGATTTTTTAGTCGTTAAGTTTGTGTGGCCCATATATGATGTTATAAATACTCAGATGGCCCTGGCAGAGAAAGCTTCCCCAGCCCTATTCTAGAAGATGAGCACTTCTAATTTTTCTGAATTTCACTTCTTCTTTCTTCTCCACTATGAGACGCCATCTTTGTGTTCATCGTTAATAAAATTTTCTTAGTGGAGACCTTTCATAAGTAAAAATACCTAGTAAATGTTTGTCAAGAACCAGGGCCAAAGCCTATGGCCAATTGGATCATAACATGTAGTACAGTTATTTGTGTGATGTTGTAAAGAGTGGATTCTAGTCACTGCTATAGTAATGTAACTAGCAGCCTAAAAAGTTCTAATGTAGATTTCATTGAACTATAGGTGTCCTTTGGTAGAATAGTAACATGCAATCATGAAAAATTAATGGAGCAGATTTTTTAAATGTAATGCACTGTTTCTAAATGATACTCAGACCTGCCTGGGAGTTTCGTGATGCTGGATATTTATGGGACTTAAGCAGTTGTGTCCTGGAATTCATCTCTGCTGAAAATAAAGTCCAGTTGTTTTTGTTTCCATGCAAAGCCACAACAAAACTTAAATTTTATTTACTAGCATGTAGTACTTAAGTAAGCAGTAACAAATAAACATTTCTGTTAATGGATGAAAAATGACACAGACATTATTTTCCTCAGGTATAGAATGAGCCAAGGAGATTCAAACCCAGCAGCCATTCCACATGCAGCGGAAGATATTCAAGGAGATGACAGATGGATGTCTCAGGTAAAAGGAAGTACACATGTATTATTCACAAGAGATGAGCCTCTTCTGTTTTTGAGAGTCTTTTGACCAAAGCTGCAAAGGGTGTTTTTAATAGTCAACAAGAATTTATTACTATAAGTAAAAGTCTAACATTGAAATCTCAGGCCTAAACACCATCTGCTGTTGGAACTGAGAAATATCTTGAAAGCATGGTAATTCCCTCTGTTAATTTTAAGACATAACAATGTCTCTACAGTATTCTTTTTGAATTGTAACAATTTTTGAATTTCAAAATGACACAAATATTACAAAAATTTTAAGAAGAACTTCCTATGTCTTTCATCTAGACTTGCCAATTAAGATTCTTGTTGTGGAATCGAACCCATGACCCTTTGGTCCAAGGGCTGACGCTCTAATCACCGAACAACACCAGCCAAGGCACCAGTTAACATTTTGCCATCTACCTAATTGTGTCTGTATCTATTTGTATATGTACCCAAAATACTGTTTTTTTCTGAACCATTTGAGGATGAGTTACAGTCATTATGCCTTTCAACCCTAAATAGTTCAATGTTTTCTAAGAACAATGACATTTTCTTACGTAACTACAGTGGAGTTATTAAAATCAAGAAACTTAACATTGATATACCATTACCCCATTTCAAAACCATATTCAGATTTCTCCAATTGTCCCAATAATGTTCTTTATATAAGTTTTCGCCCCAGTCTGGAATGGATCATACATTGCATTTATTTGTCATATCTCCTATTCTTCTTTAATCTGAAACATTTCTTGGACTTTGTTTTTCATTATATTGACATTTTGGAATAGTATAGGCCCATGGTCGGCAAACTGCGGCTCGCAAGCCAATGCGGCTCTTTGGCCCCTTGAGTGTGGCTCTTCCTAAGCCTTAGGAGTACCCTAATTAAGTTAGTAACAGTGTACCTACCTATATAGTTTAAGTTTAAAAAATTTGGCTCTCAAAAGAAATTCCAGTCATACTGTTGATACTTGGCTCTGTTGACTAATGAGTTTGCCGACCACTGGTATAGGCCATTCATTTTGTAGAGTCCCTCAATTTTGAGTTTATCTTTTCCCCCATAATCATGATTCAGAAGATGCATTTTTGGCAGGAATATCAGTGAAGTGGTATCTTTAGTGCATCACATCACATGGAAGGCACATGATGTTTGTCTCATTGGTGATACAGTAAATCCTCATTTGTCATCAGTAGGTTCTGTGACTTTAAGCAAAATGGTGTATAATGAAACCAATTTTAATATAGACTAATTGGTATAATAAACAAGAGTTAAGTTCCTATAACATCTCATCAAAATAACAAAACAGCGTGGAACAAAATGACATTATTCCAGGACCTGCTGTATTAACTTTGATCCTTTGGTTAAGATGCTATTGGCCTAAACCAATTCTTATTTTTTATCATATGGACCCATGGGTTCTTATTTTATTCAGTGAGTTACAGCCATTGTAATTTTGAAGCTCAGATTATCCCAGGTTTAGCAAGTGGGAATCCTTTAGGCTGGCCCCTTTATCTTCTCAGTGTGTCCCATTGTTTTTTAGCACTTCATTTTCTTCAATATTTTAGCTTCCTTTTAATAAGACATTGTCACTGAATAGTAACTATATTTAACCTTTATGTTTCCAACCATATTACCTCTTTGAAATAATAAGTCTGATTTTAAGTTCCCAGAGCTTTATGTTTTAGTATCTAGTGATTCTACTTATACTCTTTATAGTTGTGTATTCTCTTTCTGTTTTTGTCTTCCCAGGCTTAAAACATCAGTCTATCAAAAGCTTATTCTGAGTGATAGTTAGGTGTTTCCCAACTGTTGTCATATGGATTAACTACTTGATTATTCTTTCTTAATCTTCCTCATTTGTTTATATCTTTAAAAAGAACTTATGAGCCTGGCTAGTATAGCTCAGTGATTGAGCATTGACACAGGAGCCAGGAAGTCTCAGTTTGATTCCCAGTCAGGGCACATGACTGGGTTTCAGGCTTGATCCCCAGTAAGGAGTGTGCAGTAGGCAGCCAATCAATGATTCTTATCATTGATGTTTCTGTCTTTCTCTCCCTCTCCCTTCCTCTGTCTAAAAACCAATAAAAACATATTTAAATAAATAAATAAATACGAATAAAATAAATATTACGAAATGTTTTGAGCATCAATGTATTTGTCACACACTCTGAAAAAATAAAACATTGCTAATAGAATTGCTATTCCCTCTATACTCCTCACTGATCACATTTCTCAGTTTCCTAAATTTTGTTTTATTTTTTTCATGTATTTGCATACTACTTATATGTAATCTCTTTTGTGTTGAACACATTATAGTGTATACAGTTGTCAGATTATAATGTTGTACACCTAGATCTTATATAGTGCTATTAACCAGTATTACCTCAATAAATTTTTTAAAAAAATAATACATAGTATTTCTTGCATATTTTAAACTTTTTATAAATAGCATTTTTCTGAATGTATTTTTCCACAGTACATCATACATATTAAAAGTGTAGCTATAGTTTATTTTCTTTCTGTCAATAGTATTCCACTGTTCTGTATCAAAATACCAGAATGGATTTGCCCATTTTTTTCATTGATGGACATTTAGGTCATTTATAACTTTATTCAAAGTAGTAACTAAAAAATAGGTGCTTTTCTTTTTTCTGGCACAAATTAGCAGGCTTTAAATAATTAGTGGTGACTGAAAAAATTAGTCAAAGAAGAAAAACAGATGTGATATTAAAATATTTTTAAGTAAAAAGTTACACAAGTAATGTAGGAGTAACTTTACTAAATATTAAAATGCATACACAGAACTTTTTTTAAATATTTTTTATTGATTTCAGAGAGGAAGGGAGAGGGAAGAAGAAATATCAGTGATGAGAGAGAATCATTGATTGGCTGCCTCCCGCACGCTCGAGCGTGTGGGTCTCTACAAGATGGTCAGTGAATTCCTGATAGGGAGACTTGGTGAACACATACTCTTTCCAGAAACCTGGGGTGAGATAGCTATAGGTCTTAGAGATGGCGTCAAAGGTGGCCTTGGCAAAGTTGCCCAGGGTGGCAGTGCAGCCCCTGGCTGACGTGTAGCAGAGGTCAATACCAGCCATCATCAGCAACTTCTTAGGCACAGAGGCCGAGACAATGCCCGTACCCTGGGGGCAGGGATGAGGCGCACCAGTACAGAGCCACAGTGGCCAGTCACCTTGCAAGGTACGTGTGGGGCTGGCCGATCTTGTTTCCCCAGTTAGTCTCCCTGCACGGGGACAATAGAGAGCTTGGCCAGGGTAATGGCTCCATGGATGGCAGTGGCTACTTCCTTTGAGCACTTCACACCCAGACCAACGTGTCCATTGTAGTCCTTAATGGCAACAAATGCCTTGAACTGGGTCTGTCCTCTGGCCAGCATGTGTCTGCTTTTGCACAGGCATGATCTTCAAGACTTCATCCTTGAGGGACGCCCCCAAGAAAAAGTCAATGATCTCAGATTCCTTTATGGGCAAGGAGAATAGATAGATTTCCTCTAGGGATGTGATCTTCATGTCCTTGACCAGGTGGCCCAGCTTGGTGACAGAGATCCACTCCTTGTCCTTGTCCTTGGCCTTGCCTCCACGAGCTGCGCGGCCTCGGCCTCTGCCCCTACCCGGCTGCTGCCAAAATCCTCCACGGAAGCCACTGCACAGCACCGGCATCATCTGCCATTTGGTGTTTCATCAGAAAAGAAGAACAAAGCCAGAACTTGTTTTTTAACTGTAGTTCTCCAGTGAGAGAACCTGGGCTCCTTGGAGAAATGATTGATTCTACAACTGGAACAAAGGAAATAAAAGATGGGCCTGGAACATCTTGTGGTGCAAGAAAGCAAGGAAGAGCTCAAAAAACAAAAGGAAAAAATGGGTGGCAGCACTAAAGCTGTTAACTAAAAAAAAAACCCAAATATTCCTGAATCCCATTCTATAAATGATTGGATGAATAGTAGGGGTGGAGGAACAAATCTTTCTTACAGGATAATTTTTTTTCTTTTGTTGAAAGTATTAAAGATGTCCCCATTGACCCCTTCTAACCCTGTTCCCCTCCCATCCCCACCCCAGTCCTTCACCATACAGAATACTTTTTTAAAAATAAATAAATATATTTTTATTGATTTCAGAGAGGAAGGGAGAGGGAGAAAGTGATAGAAACATCAATGATGAGAGAGAATCATTGATCGGCTGCCTCCTGTATGCCTCACACCAGGGATCAAGCAGGCAACCTGGGCATGTGCCCTGACCAGGAATCAAACCGTGACCTGGTTCATAGGTTGACACTCAACCACTGAGCCATACTTTTGATAATGGAAAAGAAAATGAAGATTAGAACACCGTAGTAATAATTACAGTAGGCAAGATCTATTAATGAAATCTGAAATTGGAGACTTTAGGGAGGAAAAGTCTATTTGGCTAGCCTCAGAGTATTTCCCTGTAAATTAATTTTGTGATTTTAATATAGGACCACATACCATTTGATACCCTTCTCTCCAGCAGGTGGAACTTTAATGTGGACTGTGGATTTAGTGTCTTGCTTCTAACAAGTAGAGAATGTAAAAAACAAACAAAAACACCTTTATAGTGGAGAACTGTAGCAAACTCCACCTTAACCAAATAATTGATGTTAACATCACCAGTAATAAGTCATATCAGTATCATGTGCCCCCTGATAAAACAAGGGCACATCACCTCTGGTAGTCTTCCAAAAGAATCCATAACCTCATGACAAAACATCAGACAAACCCACATGGAGGGACATTCTCCAGAACACTGACCACAATGTGTCATGGTCAGGAAAGGCCAAAAATCTCCCGCATTGGAAGAGGCTGGAGACATGTAGACTAAATGCAACATGATATCCTGGGCAGGCTCTAGGGACAGAAAAAGAACATTGGTGGGAAAATTAGTGAGATTTCAATAAACTATTTTAGTTGATGGTATTTACCAATTTAGTTTTGACAAGTGTAT